CTTACTCTGTGGAAAGCCCACAGAAGTAGAAACAAAACCAAAACAAAACTAAAAAACTAAAAGCTTCCATGTAAAAAACACTTAGGGACGGTTAGATTAAAATAGCTTTCTTTATCTCATTCAAGAAGGAATACAGTAGGATTCTTTTCCAGATGTATCTGTGTTTTGGAAATGTATTTGATCATAAAACTCTTTTCAATGTTGTTTCACTATTTTGAGAAACACGTTTTAAAAATAATTATCTCTGATTTTTAAAATTCTGGAGCAGCCACAGAGAAGCTGATCTTTCTAAAAGTCATGCTGATAAATGTAGGCAAGCTCTCCTTAACAAATGATTGGCTCTCAAAGGCTGCTCTGTTATCTCCGATTCCTTGCTAGCTGTTTCTGGATGCTGAAATAGAAAAGAAATGCCTGTTATGTCTTTCTTCTCCTCTTTTTCTTGAAAAAAATTAGAGACAGATTATATAACATTGGCCTTCCCATGGGTATATTGGTGGGTACATTCAAAAGCTTTTCTTAGTACCTTGTGAATGGCTTTGTAGAGGCACCTCATGCTTTAGTTAAACAGGGAGTTCCTTACTCTTTCTAAAAATCAACTCCTATTTTCTCATTGATTTACATGAAAACTTCAGATGGACAGTCAATATGCATTTGTGCCTAACAAATGTCTTAAGTCTCCTCCCTACATTCCCCCAATCTTGTCTGCAATTGCTTAATGAAATATAAACGAACATTTAAAAATACAAAATGCAAACCAATATTTATAGGACTCCTTTGGGAATCTTTTTATAAGCTGAAGATCCCTTTCAAAATGTGAGTGATTCCTCAATAGAACAGACTAGAAAGTCCATAAATAAACTCAAACACATATAGGAATTTAGTACATGCTAAAGATGGTATTAAAATCCACGAGGAGGACAGTGTTGAATAAATGGTGTTGAGACAAACTAGGTAGAAATTCAGAAACAAAGTGAAGTTGAATCTACAATTCACACCTGACTCAAAATAAATTCTAGGTGGATCAGAGTTTTAACTGGAAAAATAAAACCATGGAAAAAACTTGAAAAATAAAAACATTCCTTTGGCCTGTTATTGAGCTGACATACACACTAAGTAACATTCTTTTAAGTGATAAGTCACAATGAAATAGTAGAAACTTTGATAGGAAAAGCAGTATCCAACTCTTCTACTGAGGCTGGGAAATGATTTAGGTAGAAGAGAAAAGCTAAGAGATGTTTTATATTTATATTTTGTCATGACAGTAAGGAGCTATAAAGTGAATTATGTGATCAATTATGTCATCCTTGGGGGACAGTAGCAGCTCTGATGGAGACTAAAGGGAGAGATGTTTGATACATAAGGTGGGATTAGGTCGTAGAGGACTTTGATGAAGAGCTTACCCTTGGTTCGCTTTTAGTGGGACACCTCTGGGGGCTTATGAGAAGCGGATCTTTCTAAAAATCACGCTAATAAATGTAGGCAATCTCTCCTTACTTAGCAAATGATTGGTAAGGTTCTCAATCTCCACACCACTTACATTTTTGGCTGGATAGTTCTCTGTTATGACAGGCTGGCCCTGTGCACCATAGGATGTTTAGCAGCATCCTGAACCTCTGCCTACTAGATGCTTGTACCATCTCCCTCCTTTCAACTTGTGATAACCAAACTGTTCCCAGATGTTGCCAAATGTATTATGGGGAACAGGATTACCATAGAATGAGAACCATTGATCTCTAGAATGACAGAATAATCAGTATTTAAGAAGGACTGTCTAGCTGTGGTTGGTTGTGTAGAATGAATAGGAGGTCAGCAGGACAGAAACCTGAGAGAATGTATTAGAGGCTGATCCATACCCTAGGTGTGGTATATTGTTATAGTAAGGGCCTCCAATAAAGTACACCCTCTGTATCCATGACCTTTTAGTCAGTCCCTTCCCACTCTGATGTGGGACCTGGCATGTGACTTTCTTTGATCAGTGGAATATCAGCAAACAGGACACAGGCTGAGGCCTGCAAAGCATCTGTGGATTCGGACTTTATCAGCACACTGCTGCCACATGACAAGACCCGTGCGACCTTGTGAAGACCTGGCCTCGTGGAGACCATATCCGGTAGTGTTGCCATAGACATCGTTGCCTTAAACATCATTGCCAAAATAATTTCTGCTACAAACTCTTTCACTGCAGAAATAATTGTCAGTGAGGCAATTTCATCATTAGAGAGAACGTAAGTGGTTCACAGTTTGGTTTCATTTCTCCATTGACAAAATTCTCAGAGTGCTCCTAATTTTATGTTATATAAATCTTAGCCAGATTGTATACTATATTGGAAAATAATAACATATCAGTTTTTGCAAGCCCTTTGGTGAACACAGTCATCTCTCCCACCCATAAAAACAGAAAGTTTACCAAACAATGGCAAATATAAAAGAGAGAGCTGCTCATTTACAACAGTCTTAGCATTACTGATTCTTTAGTTGGAAACTGATATCTCTCTTAATGAGGAAAGACATTTTAGGGAAAAAGAGAAAAAGTTTGATGCCTGACAAGGAGACAAATCAACAAGCACCTCCCTGCTCCCAAAGAAAATATAATACTATGAACAAAAGACTTCAATGATAATGTATTTTCATTTTTGCAATAGTCTTCTGAATTTTCTTAATTTTTCATGCTTCATTATGTCTTTTTTAATGTCCCTCTTTTATTTCTGTTCTTTTATCTTTTGTATAGCCAAATTGCTTTAAAGCCACTTAATTATGTGACTAAAATGCTTACAACAAAGATGATACTACCTAGAACCCCTGAAGACACATGGTCCAGCTAACAATGAGCACCAACTTCTAGACACATGAGCCGGGTCCTCTAAGACCATGCAGCCACAATGAAGCCACCATGGCTACATGATCCCAGGCAAGCCAGCAGAAAAGCCACCTCCCTGAGCCCTGCCCCAGTTCATGACAATGAAATGATGAACAAATGTGGTGATGGTTGTTTTAAATCACTGTTTGTTATGCAGTGATAGATAACTGTTACATTAGGTCTGGAGTAGATTAATATCTGTGGAAATGAGATGTGTACACAAGACATTTGGAATAATCCATGTTTATTGATGACTCTTCAGTGAAGGGGCTTGGGGAAAGGGCAAAACGGGTCAAAGAATATAATAATTTAGAAATTAGTGCAAATTCAAAGTGAGTTCAGGAATGGAGTTGCATGAGCAGTCACTAAGAAAGCACTTCTGCCTCAGCACTTAAAATATTAACTCATTTATTTTGAAAAGCATATATTTATTCATTGCTAACAGTATAATGATAGTAATATTTCAAAGATTCAGTTTAATAAGTATATTTGTAAAGCTTTAAAGGCATTACAAGCTATCCACTTTTTACTTTATATGGAAAATCAATCTTTAGAATAAACAGGAAAGCACATACACTCAAAATCAATAACAATTTATATTGCGCTAAGGGTGAAATTCATTTCAATGTATTAAGCTGTCCACTTGTATAGAACTATATCCACTTAGCAATTAGATTGCTAAGACTGGGGCTTCTCATAATGGGCCAGTTAGATTTACAGATGGAGATTACCAGTGGTATTTACAACTTGACAGGTGCTTGAGAGTGTTGACTGTTTTTATTGTATTGTTCAAGAAGAAACAGTTCCTCAGATGTTTACCACTTAGCTCTATGTTTAAGAACACTAGCCTGCAGAAATGTGTCAGTCAAATCCCCTACTTTATTTTATTATATTTTTAAAAATCAAAGTAATCAGCAATAAAGAGAATCCAGAATGAGGTAAAATGAAAATACAGCCATAACTAAGAGAAATGATAGTAAAGAAAGTCTAAAAAGTGGCGGGAACATATAATGTGAACAAAGTGAAAATAACCCAAATGCATTTTCTCAGGCTGTAGGAATCACAGAAAGAACATATGCTACAGAAGTCATATGACAGAGTGAAGGTCTCTTGTAAATGGAAAGGCAAGATTTATTTGTATTTTTTGTTAATCCTCACCCAAGGCTATATTTTTCATTGATTTTTAGAGAGAGTGGAAGGGAGGGGGAGAGACAGAGAAACCTAGATATGAGAGCGACACATCAATTGGTTGCCTCCCGCACAGGCCCCACCGCAACTGAGGCACATGCCCTTGACCGGAATTGAACCCGCAGCCCTTCAGTTTGTGGGCCAGCAAAACTGACGAGGGCAAGAAGAACAAGATTTTTAAAAAGGATCAAAATGAAGTAATTTTAAAGACCTTGTACCTATAAAACAGTCAGTATAAAGAAACAATAGCCTTGTTGAAATAAGTGTTTAAGATCAAAGGGGAACATACATTTGGATATATCATTTCCATAGATTCTTTTTTAAAGAAAAGCTACCCCAGTCTGGTAAACATTGCTGCCTACCAAGGAATTAGGTTATTAATTTTCACTCAGGTTGAGACAAAGAGTGAGAAAAATTATTTGGATGTGGGAACCTGGAAGATCTATATGATTTCTATTGCGTATTAACTAGTTGGACTTTAATGTTGGATGGACATGTGTTAAGGAGAGCCGGGAAAATCAGAGAATGGGGTCTTCTGGTCAATCTCACACCTTGGTTGTAAGAAAATATGCATATACAGAAGTTTACCAATTTTCCAGAATTAGAAGAGAATAAAATACACATAACAATCATCTGGAACCCTAACCCTACCTTCCTTTTCCCTTTCTGTCCAGTTAGTTCTCTTCCTAAGGTCATGCCAGTAACATACCTGTGGGGGAGCTTAGTTCTTGGTTTTACTCCAGCAAGAGTTTACCTCCAAGGGCCTGGTAACGCTCCTGCCGCACCCCCAGTTCCACCTGGGTCCCCAATTCCAAGAGCCCCAAATCCATGCTCTTGCCAGATCCGCATACGGAAAGCACCGCCAGGCTCCCGGAGGCGTGGGAACCAGCGCCGGGCGCTCCTCCTCTCGGGCTGGGCTGGGCGGGGCCGGTCCCGCCAGGAAAGTGGCAGGTGCCTCGCGCCTGGATCTCAGTCTCTGGCGGGCTCCCCGCGCGGTGCGCGCAGCCAGGAGCGCACTTGCCGGGCTCCTGGGCCGGCAGCGGGCCAGCAGGGCTCCGTGCGCGGGACCTGGGCCCGTGTGGGAGTGCGCCGACCTCGCCCGCCTAGAGCCTCGCGCCGCCCGGACGTTCCGCAGGTGGCAGAACCCGCCGGACCAGCCCAGCTCGGCACGACTCCCGGCGGCGGCGCGTGGCCCCGGACTTCCCGCTTTCGCCGCAACCAGGGCGCGCAGGACGCCCGTCGCGTCCCGTCCCGTCCCGTCCCGGAGCTCCCGAGGCCGCCCCGTCGGGCGGGATGGAGGCGGAAGGGGACCCGGAGGAGCTGGCCCGGCTGCGCGCCGTCTTCGCCGCCTGCGACGCGAACCGCTCGGGGCGCCTGGAGCGCGACGAGTTCAGCGCGCTGTGCGCGGAGCTGCGCGTGCGGCCGGCCGACGCCGAGGCCGTGTTCCAGCGCCTGGACTCGGACCGCGACGGCGCCATCACATTCCAGGAGTTCGCGCGCGGCTTCCGCGGGGCCCGCCGCGGGGGCCGGCGCCGGGGCTGCGGGCTGCGGCCGGGGCCCGCTCCGCCCGAGTCCCAGGCTGGGTCCGACTCCGGGGACAGTGAGGAGGACGAGGACGACCAGGACGCGGCCGCGGAGGTGCTGGCGGCCCCTCGGGGCTCGGCTGGCCCTGGCCCCGCCTGGCGGGACTTCCAGGCGCGACTCGGGGAGGAGGCCAAGTTCATCCCCAGGTGCGTGTCTGGGTTGGAAGGTGGGCGGTACAAATGGTGTTTCTGTGCAGACTCACTGAACTCTCTCTTCTTGGTGAGTTGCTTTTCTCCATTCACTAACTTTTCCGAGACCGCGGTCCCCTGAGAGTTCAGGAAAGGGCATGCGTTCAGAATAAGGGTGTGGAGGAGCAAGTTTCAAATGCCCACTTCTGAGCCCTGCAAAAGGTGCTTGGTTAGTTACAGGGGCCACGGTGAACTCCTGTGTCCAGAGATTCTTCCAGGACATGGGCGAGGAGCGCAGGCTCCTCGGTGCCACCTGGTTATGTCATCTGCTGGAGGACTTCCGGGAGCTGGGGGCGGTGGTGACCCGGGCCCGTGGCCAATTTGATCTTCGCTATAGCAGTTTTTGCCTGTGTTGTTTTCCTACTACTAAATAGAAAAAGAGACCTTATTGGGCATCTGTATTGCTGGACACATATAGGTATTTTATAGAGTTCATCTGTTTAAATTTCAGAATAACCTTGGGGACGGGGTAGACTTTCTTTTTTCCCACGGATGAAGAAACTTAGACCCAGAAATGTATGCCTATAAAATGTCAAGGGACTTGCACAGTTAATAAAAGCGCAGGGATTTGATCCCAGATGTTGTGAATTGAAAAACTGTCTTTATATACAATAGAATAAAATGATAAGATTATACAATAAATTCTCTACTCCTATGACTGATTCCAACAGAAATAACGTAATATAAAGTTACTAACGTAATTCTTAGCAGGAAAGGGGATGCCTGCTGGTTCAGGGCAGGGAGGTCGCACCGCAGGTGTTTTTTGGTTTGGGATTCATTTGCTCTGTCTCTGCCTGGTGTCACGGTGTGTCTCTGGCAGCTGCTATCACGTCTTCCTCAGGCACTACAAACATGTGAATGTTGTAACACGTTTTTTTTTGCTTTCTGCTTAGATTTCAGTTAAAATTTTATGGAGCTCCGGCTACCATCATTAAGAAAATCTGAAATACCTCGTGTTAATTGGCGGTTCACATATCTGAGACATAAGACTCAGAAAAGGAAAGTTCCCTGAGAGACAGGCAGCAGTGAGATGGGCTCACCTATTCATAGATTAGACTTTTGGGGCAAGGAGTCCTCACTTCTGCCTTCTCCCAAATAGTCTCTGCAGTTTGGAAAGTACAGGGAACACGGGATGGAGAGTGACGCACTGCAGGATAAGAAGGATTGTGTGGAGAAAGAGGGTGTGATACTCATCTTTTCTAGTATTTACAAATGAATTAAAATGCAGTGTCTCCACCAGGGAAGTAGAAAATTTAAACATTGCTATACACTCTGCTCTTTGAATCATCTTTCACTTTGTCACTTGGTTTAGGGCCAGCGAATTAAAATGGTAACACTTTTAGGAATAAGGAAGAGTGAGTTCACATCATATCATTTTTATGTATATATGTACACGCACATATGAATCTACTTTTCACAGTTGTCAGGTCTCAGCAGCAGTTGTTTGACACTTAACCCTTAAGTAATTAAAACGAGCTTCCTAGGATCAGTGTACAAACTGGAACTTATTAGTATTGATGATATTATCATTATAATATGTTTCAAACTCTTCAAAAGTTATTACATTTAATGGCTACCAGTGTCACCTGGTAGACTCGTGTCCTAAGCCCCACCCCCTTCTATGGGAGATAAACAAGTACAATATTTACCTTCCTGTACTTGTTTAAGTGGAAAAGAACTGAACAGAGCTGCTTCATCTGATTGTTACCATGGCAGCCATAACTGTTTTGGTAAATTGGATTGCTTCTATTCCACTTCCTCATACAGCTGTTCTCCTTCCCTTCCTCTCATCCAAATGTGATAAAAATCTTTTGTTATTGATAATGCCATTGCCATTATTTCAGCCAAATAAATTCTGCAAACATTACTGAGTGTCTGTTTTGGGCTAGATACTCTCTTAGGTCCTGTCCTAGGTCCCCGCAGACAAAGAGAAGGACAAGATGTAGTTCATACCCTCAAGAAGTTCATAGTGTGGGTGAAACATTTTTCAAAAATTTTCTCAAAGACCATTTAAAGGCAAGATAATTATTTGCAGGAAGCTCCATCTATTGTAGACATAGCTTGACAGACTTCTGCAAGCAGGAACTTTCTTTGAAGTCTTGAGTTCTCTTTTTTAAAAAATTATGTATTTGGTCATTTTACTCCATAATGTAGTGGAGCTGCTTTTAATATAAAACATGTTTTCTTCCAAGGGCAAATTGTCTTTCTGGAAAGGTGCGCTGGTTCATCTGGGGGCTTTGTTTCCCTCCTGACACTCTCATCTTCCCCCTGGTACGCTGTTCCATGCCTGTGGGGTGGTAGAGGATGTATTCATATACAGTTTGAGGAGAACAAATACCAGATATAAGAATGGTTGGGTAGGCCAGTGTGGCTCAGTGGTTGAGCATCAAACTATGAACCAGGAGGTCATGGTTTGATTCCTGGTCTGGGCACATGCCGGGGTTTTGGGTTCGATCCCCAGTGGGGGGTATGCAGGAGGCAGCCAACCAATGATTCTCTCTCATCATTGATGTTTCTAACTCTCCCTCTCCCTTCCTATCTGAAATCAATAAAAATATATTTAAAAATAAAAAGCATGTTTGGTTCCTATAGAGGCAAAACATGGCAATGATTTCCATTTCAAAGTTTATTCAAGCTCTTAGATCAAAATATTAAGCAAATTTGGGTTAAGTTCTCCAGTCATCAGTTACTGTGATATTAGAGAGAAAATAATACTGCATTTTGAAAGGATGAAAATGGAGTCTGGGATGTGTCAACACATTCTTAAGTTCTTTTCCTCTTAGAAAACTGAGGGCTCCTTCCCTTAAAGGATGGGGGAGGGAGGTTTCCAAGCAGTCACATGGCCTGGGTATGTATACATGGTGGACAGGGTCAGGACGGATGGTTACCACTTCATAGTAAGTTGGAACTAGGTCAGCCAGCAGATGAAACCGGAATGGGCAAGGTGATGTAATTATGTAAGAGAATTCTGGAAGGAAGATTGTTCCAGGTCAAGAGAAGCCCTCGAAGTGGACCGAGAACTTCCGGGGAGAGACAGAGAGCAGACTTGTACTAACAGCCTAGCTGATTTCTGGTGCCAGGGCCATTATCTTGGTGAAAGGGAGATGTGTACTCAGTAGGTACTCAATAAATGGACTCAATTAATATTTGCTGGATGAATTGGATAAGACTTTGTCTTCAGTTTCTTGGTTCATATACTGAGAAAGCAGTTAGTTCATTCTGGATGCCTTTTTTTTCAGTTCTTGATTTTTATCAAGTTCTCTGTGAAAGCTGGTCATGGGGTTCAGAGATTGGCAGGGAGAGAAGGAAATTGTTTGTGTGTGTGTGTGTGTTCATTGAGCATTTGCCCTGGGGCAGGGGAATGGCGGAAGTCATCTCTGATCAGAGCTGAAGCTTTCAGAGTTTTCTCATTTCCATTTGAAGCAATTTTGAGTGTCACTTGTGAAATGATTCAGTTTGATAAATTAGCTTAGAGCCCCACATTCTCAGAACAGAACCATGAGGGTCTAGCTGACACTGGGACCACCATGCTTTTATGAATTGGCACAGGTTCTGCCACAATAGCCAGATCAAGGATAGACCCAGGGCTGGTGCCTGGAGTGTAACAGGAGGTAGCGTGATTGGCGACCTGCTAGACAGGGCTAGAGTGGGATTTGGTCAGGCACTAAAAGTGGTTCTGTGTAGTCAGATGGTCCTTTCTGGTTCTGATATTTGAATTTCATCTCAAGCTAATACTTTATTTTTGGCTTCCTAGCCCCAGATATGTATCCTGGCCTCCCCAGCCTTATAGAACTGCCAGTTTTGGATGTGCACACAGTGGGCAGCTTTTCTCTCAGGCTTTGGTGAGAGATTATTTATTCTTCCCTGATGGATGGGCAAAAAGAAAATGGCTTAAAATGGGATGTCTTTGGAAGACTACGCTCCAAGAACCTCAGACTCTTCTTTAGCTTGTCTTTTAACATGCAATGTTGATTTACTACTCATCCAAATCACTGTTCAAAATCAGGGTCCTACTGCTCCTGTCACTTCGAGTTTGTGACAACCTTGACCTCTTTCTTGATTTCTTTGTGGTTGCATAGTCTTATTTCATTTGTGAAGTGGAAATAGCTACTACATGTTAAACTGCCTTGAACAGAGGTGTGGAAGCTGACAGCTGAACCTATAGATGATGGAAGAGGTCAGAATTCCATAGTGATTCAAATGTCTGTTGTTTCTTTTCCTCCTAAGATGGTATATACAATATACATTCTTGCTTTATCTATATCTTGCCAGGGCTTAGGGAGCCCTTGACTGCAGTATGTAGTTGGAAGGAAGAAGTGGGAAATGGTTATCATGGGTATTCAAGGCTGTTTCTGTCTGATTATATTAGTCTCATGTCAGGTTGTAAAATGCAAAGTAAACACTAATTCTCAGAGAAAAGCTTTAAAGGTGGAATGAATGTATGACACATATGGTTTCCTTGGAATTATTCCCCACCAAAAAAAACACAACAACACACAACAAAAACCAATTTCATTGCTTCAATTTGTAAATATTTGGGGTCTTCCAAATTATAATTATGAATTTTAACCCTTGAGGCCTTAGCCTGTGCATCTTATAAAAACAAGATATACAGCCCAGAGCTGTGTGACTCAGTAGGTTGATTGTAGTTCCATGCACCAAAAGGTCACCAGTTCGATTCCTGGTCAGGGCACATACCCAGGTTTCGGGTTCGATCCCTGGTCAGGATGTGTGTGTGAGGCAACTGTTCGATGTTCTCTCTCACATTGATGTTTCTCTCACTTTCTCTCTTCCTCTTCCATCCTCTCTCTCTAAAATCAATTTTAAAAACATTAAAAACACACCAAGATACACAGATGCAGCCACTGTAACTTTTTAATTCTTTCTCTGGTTCACTCAGTATTGATGTGCCTGCCAGTGTTCTAGGAACTAGTGAGACTTTGGAAACCTGACCCTCA